AAACTCCCAACAAAGTCCAGGACCAGTTGGCTTCACAGAAGAATTCTACCAAACATCTAAAAATCACTAATACCCATCCTCCTTAAAGTTTTCCAAAAATTAGAAGAGGAGTGAACACTTCCAAACTCATGCTATGTGGCCAGCATCACTTTAATTCCAAAACCAGACAGACACTGAAAAAAAAATTATAGACCAATATCCTTGAAGAACATAGATGCAAAAATCCTCAACCAAATATTAGCAAAATGAATTAAAAAATACATCGAAAGGGTGATCCATCATGACCAAGTGGGATTTATTCCAGGGATGTAAGGATAGTACAGTACTTGTAAATAAGCCAATGCGATACACCACATTAACAAAAAGGATAAAAATCACATGATTATCTCAATAGATGCTGAAAAAGCATTTGACAAAATTCAACATTCATTCATGATCAAAACTCTCAAACAAAATGGGTATAGAGGGAATGTACCTTAACATAATAAGTGCCATATATGACAAATCCACAATTAAAATCATACTCAATGGCTAAAAGCTAAAAGCTTTTTCTCTAAGATCAGGAAAAAGACAAGGATGCCTACTCTCACCACTTTTATTTAACATTGTACTGGAGATCCTACCCATGGCAATCAGACAAGAAGAAGAAATAAAAGGCATCCAAATTGGTAAGGAAGAAGTAAAACTGTCACTATGTTCAGATGACATGATATTGTACATAGAAAACCCTAAAGACCCCACCAAAAGACTGTTAGAACTAATAACTGAATTCAGAAAAATTGCAGGATACAAATTAATACACAGAAATCTCTTGCATTCCTATATACTAACAATGAACTAGCAGAAACAGAAATTAGGAAAACAATTCCATTTACAATTGCATGAAAAAGAATAAAATACTACTAATGAACCTAGCCAAGGAGGTGAAAGACCTATACTCTGAAAACTACTATACTCTTGAGAGAAATTAAAGCTACAAATAAATGGAAATTCATCCTGTGCTCATGGATAGGAACAATTACTATTGTCAAAATGGCCCTCCTGCCTAAAGCAATCTACGGACTCAATGCAATCCAGCATTTGTCAATGAACTGGAGCAAATAATTCTAAAATTCATGTGGAACCACAAAGGACCCCAACTAGCCAAAGAAATTCTCAGAATGAAGAACATAGCTGGATATATTATAGTTTCTGACTTCAGTCTGTACTACAAAGGTACAGTAATCAAAGCAGTACGATCCTAACACAAGCACAGACCCATAGATCAATGGATTAGAATATAGAGCCCAGATATAAAACCCATACATCTATGGACAATTAATAGATAATAAAGGAGACATGGATATAAAATCAGGAAAAGACAGCCTCTTCAAAAACTGGTGTTGGGAAAACTGGACAGCTACATGCAAGACAATGAAACTGGATTGTCTAGCTCCTTACACAAAAGTAAACTAAAAATGGGTTAAAAACCTGAATGTAAGACATGAAACCATAGAAGAGAACATAGGCAAAAATCTTTTGAGCACAGGTATGAGCAGTTTTTCTAGGTACATCTCCTCAAGCAAGGGAAACAAAATAAAAGATGAAGAAGTGGGACTACACCCAACAAAAAGCTTCTGTACAGCAAAGAACACCATCAACAGAACAAAAGGCATCTCTCCTTACACAAAAGTAAACTAAAAATGGGTTAAAAACCTGAATGTAAGACATGAAACCATAGAAGAGAACATAGGCAAAAATCTTTTGAGCACAGGTATGAGCAGTTTTTCTAGGTACATCTCCTCAAGCAAGGGAAACAAAATAAAAGATGAAGAAGTGGGACTACACCCAACAAAAAGCTTCTGTACAGCAAAGAACACCATCAACAGAACAAAAGGCATCCTACTGTATGGAGAATATATTTGTAAATGATTTATCTGATAAGGAGTTAATATCCAAAATATATAAAGAATTCATATGACTCAACCATAACAAAACAAATAACCCCGTTAGAAAATGGCCAGAGGACCTGAACAGACATTTTTCTGAAGAAGAAATACAGATGTCCAACAGGCACATAAAAAGATGCTCCACATTTTTCATCACTAATCATCAGGGAAATAAAACTCAAAACCACAATGAGATTATCACTTCACACCCATCAGAATGGCCACTATCTGAAAGACAAGAAATAACAAGTGTTGGTGAGGATGTGGAGAAAAAGGAACCCTCCTACACTGTTGGTGTGAATGTTAGTTGATGCAGCCACTGTGGAAAGCAGTATGGCAGTTCCTCAAAAACTAAAAATAGAAATATCATATGACCCAGTAATTCCACCTCTAGGAATTTACCCAAAGAAAACAAAATCCCTGATTAGAAAAGACATATGAACCCCTATGTTTATTGCCATATTATTTATAATAGCCAAGACATGGAAGCAACCTAGTGGCCATCAGTGTATGAATGGATAAAGAAGACGTGTTACATATACACAATGGAATATTATTCAGCCATAAGAAGAAAACAAATCCTACCATTTGCAACAGAATGGATGGACCTAGAGGGTATTACGCTCCGTGAAATAAGACAGATGGAGAAAGACAAATATCATATGATTTTACATATTTGTGGAATCTAAAACCAAACCAAAACAAAATGAACAAATAGCAGTAGACTCATAGACACTGAGAAGTAACTGGTGATTTCCATGGGGGAGGGGCTATGGTAGGTTGGTGGGAGGGGGTGGGGGATGAAGGGCACAAAAATTCTCTATCATAATCCGAGTTTTCTGTAGGAATGGCATCACAGCATGGAGAATATAGCCAATGAATCTGTAACATCTTCTTATGTTGAAAGATAGTAACTGCACTAGTGGGAGTGAGGATTTAGTAATTTGGGTAACTGGTGAACAACTGTGTTTTTACACCTGAAACCAATGTAAGATTGTACCTTGTAAGGTACACCTGAAACCAATTGTAAGATCTGTACTTCAATAATAAATAAATAAATAACTTATACTTGTTAAGTACTTAACAAAGAAAAGTAATACTTTTGAAATTCTTAATAATGACTTTATTTACTACTCACACTTGGCTCACCACTGGAGGAAAGTCCCACACATGGAGAAGAAAGAATAATGGAATAATGAGATAATGGCCCCAAGACCACACATCTACTTGGGAAAGAAATAACAAAAATAAACTTATCAATTAATGTCTTGTGTCAGTCATTCCATGATCAACTAGGAGAGGGGATGGCTTTGCTCTATAGACTCTGGCATCGAGTAGAAAATACCTCTAGATGCCATTTCATCCTTATCCTTAATAGTGACATAGCATGGTGTTCTCCAGATGTGTTCAATCTGCCACCTGGCATATCTACAGGACTCTGAGGAGTGTCACTGGAACATGATATTTTCTTGTATAGTGAGTAGTTTTAGCCAGACCTGTGAGTGTGTTTAGGTTTTCTGAAGTCACAGAATGAAAGCGTTATACATTCCTTTTGTCCTCAGAACAGGTTTCACAGGAAGAGTGAGGGCGTGCGGCTCACACTGAGTCTCATTCCGATAGTACATCTCTATGAAGTACTCCCTGGTGGAAGAGGTTAGAGGACAGAGCTGTTAGCTCTGTGTTGTTGAACTGCCATTGAATTTCTTTCCCCATGACCTGTAACATGTCAGCTGAAGGACTACTGGAAGAATCTGTGGGCCAATTAAGTCACAGGAATAGGGAGACTGCGGCAGGTGGGACTGATCTGGAAGGAGGAAATGAGAGGTCTGGTTTCTTAGATAAGCAGGGGAAAAGGAGGTGGAAACCAAGGTGCTCAATCAGAGAAGATGCTGAGAGGTTTGAGGGTGATTTGAGGAGCCTTTGAATAAGAAGTAGGGGGCGGGCAATGAGGTACTGGGTGTTGTTTCCCCTGTTCTCTCCCTTTCATGCTTCTTATCTGCTCCTTCATTTCTGTTTTTAATTCTCTCAGTATTTCTTTCCACCTTTCCCCTGAATGAATGTATCTCCCCTCTCCTTAACCAGGCCATAAACATGGAACTGAATGATATATAACATGTGCTTGAATATACAGCAAAGCTTTATCAATGATATACTCAGAAAGAAGGGGTGGTGTATTTTCAAGTCCTGTGTTCTCTCATATTAAGGAGGGCTCTCTCAATACTGTATTTCATAAAACTATGTAATGTTTGGCCTGAACAAACCTTGCAAAGCTAGTATGAGGTGCTTGTCCTCCTACACTGTTGGTGTGAATGTCAGTTGGTGCAGCCACTGTGGAAAGCAGTATGACAGTTCCTCAAAAACTAAAAATAATCATATGACCCGGTAATTCCACCTCTAGGAATTTACCCAAAGAAAACAAAATCCCTGATTAGAAAAGACATATGAACCCCTATGTTTATTGCCATATTATTTATAATAGCCAAAACATGGAAGCAACCTAGTGGCCATCAGTGTATGAATGGATAAAGAAGATGTGTTACATATATACAATGGAATATTATTCAGCCATAAGAAGAAAACAAACCCTACCGTTTGCAACAGAATGGATGGACCTAGAGGGTATTATGCTCTGTGAAATAATCCAGATGGAGAAAGACAAATATCATATGATTTTACATATTTGTGGAATCTAAAGCCAAACCAAAACAAAATGAACAAATAGCAGTAGACTCATAGACACTGAGAAGTGACTGGTGGTTTCCATGGGGGAGGGGTTATGGTAGGTTGGTGGGAGGGGGTAGGGGATGAAGGGCACAAAAATTCTGTATCATAATCCAAGTTGTCTGCAGGAATGGCAGCACAGCATGGAGAATATAGCCAATGAATCTGTAACATCTTCTTATGTTGAAAGATAGTAACTGCACTAGTGGGAATGAGGGTTTAGTAATGTGGGTAACTGGTGAACAACTGTGTTTTACACCTGAAACCAATGTAAGATTGTACCCCAACTGTACTTCAATAATAAATAAATAAATAACTTATACTTGTTAAGTACTTAAAGAAAAGTAATGCTTTTGAAATTCTTAATAATGACTTTATTTACTACTCACACTTGGCTCACCACTGGAGGAAAGTTGCACACATGGAGGAGAAAGAATAATGAGATAATGGCCCCAAGACTACACATCTACTTGGGAAATAATAAAAATAAACTTATCAATTAATGTCTTGTGTCAGTCATTCCATGATCAACTAGGAGAGGGGATGGCTTTGCTCTATAGATTCTGGCATCCAGTAGAAAACATCTGTAGACACCATTTCATCCTTATCCTTAATAGTGACATAGCACGGTGTTCTCCAGACGTGTTCCATCTGCCACTTGGCAGATCTACAGGACTCTGAGGAGTGTCCCTGGAACATGATATTTTCTTGTACAGTGAGTAGTTTTAGCCAGACCTGTGAGTATGCTTAGGTTTTCTGAAGTCACAGAATGAAAGCGTTATACATTCCTTTTGTCCTCAGAGCAGATTTCACAGCCACACTTTCAACATTCCAGGAAGTTTTGATCTTGGAGGTATTCAGAACATTTTTATATTCCTAAACTTTGTTCCAGTTTGATGTGTGTCATCATATGTCCTTTTAAATCAACTTCAGATTCAACATCTCTTACCATCATCTTCAAGAGAAACTCTCCTCATGCTGGGGTCTCATCTCTGACGTGCTGTGCCTAGAATATCTTGCTCTCTTCAAGAGCTGCCCTGTGTATTATATACAACAAAGTTTTCTGGCAAGTTAGCTTTTGATTTCTTCAAAGTAACGTGAATTTTCCAGGGCCAAAGGGTACAAAGAAATATTTATTTTTCAGCTCTGCCACCCAATATGTTTTAACATAAATATAAAAAGATGGTACCAATTTCCCAAGGTAGATGATATCTCTAGATCTCTCCACTTTATCTCATTTCTCTGTCTCCCCTGGTGAGAAGGCTGGGACTAATAGGTAAGTTGGTCCTTTGCCCATTAGCCAAGGATTAAAGTCTTCCTTTCCTTGCCTTCATCCTGTATGTGGATTTTGTTTCAAATCTGTTCTACTTCAGAGACTTACAGAATGGCCTCATTTAATCCTGTTCAAATGAAATCTAGGGGCCCTTAAATAATAAAATTTCCTGTATGGCAAATCATATAGTCATGGCAGCCCCAGGAACGCTGACCTGCTTTACCTCTGATTGCATTCTGGCATTGGTATCCTTTTATATTAGCACTGCAAAAACACAAGTCAAGGTTTAGGCAAGTGGGAGCAGGGTCACGTGGAGAGGCAGGAGTTGTCTGAAGTTGTGGGAATCCCTGAAACATACAGTTATCACCCCAAACCCATTTCCCTCAAAGCTGGGGTTAATGGCCAAGTTATATTCTCAAAGCAAAGCACTGTCCACCCCAAGAAGAAGGTTCCATCCTTTGTGTACAGCTCTTCCTGAGCACTAACAGACAATGCCGTTAGTAGCTTGGTGATTGGTCGTGATCATACACTCTGTGGGCCAGTCTTTGGGGATCACAGGGGCGACCAGCTTGGCAAATCTCATCAGAGGGCAGCTGGGGGTGCAGCCAGGAAGAGTGAGGGTGTGCGGCTCATGCTGAGTCTCATTCCGATAGTACATCTCTATGAAGTACTCCCTGGTGGAAGAGGATAGAGGACAGAGCTGTTAGCTCTGTGTTGTTGAACTGCCATTGAATTTCTTTCCCCCTGACCTGTAACATGTCAGCTGAAGGACTACTGGAAGAATCTGTGGGCCAATTAAGGCACAGGAATAGGGAGACTGCGGCAGGTGAGACTGATCTGGAAGGAGGAAATGAGAGGTCTGGTTTGTTAGATAAGCAGGGGAAAAGGAGGTGGAAACCAAGGTGCTCAATCAGAGAAGATGCTGAGAGGTTTGGGGGTGATTTGAGGAGCCTTTGAATAAGAAGTAGGGGGGGGGCAATGAGGTACTGGGTGTTGTTTCCCCTGTTCTCTCCCTTTCATGCTTCTCATCTGCTCCTTCATTTCTGTTTTTAACTCTCTCAGTATTTCTTTCCACCTTTCCCCTGAATGAATGTATCTCCCCTCTCCTTAACCAGGCCATAACATGGAACTGAATGATACATAACATGTGCTTGAATATCTAGCAAAGCTTTATCAATGTTATACTCAGAAAGAAGGGGTAGTGTATTTTCAAGTCCTGTGTTCTCTCATATTAAGGAGGGCTCTCTCAATACTGTATTTCAAAAAACTATGTAATGTTTGGCCTGAAACAACCTGGCAAAGCTCGTATGAGGTGCTTGTGGAAGTCATTTGCCAAAGAGGCAGGAAGGAAATTCAAGCAGGATTCAGCAATCCTTCTTGGTGTGGTGACCTCACCATGGCAACTCCAAATGTTATAAACAAGTCTTTTAAAACATCTCTTTAAAAAGCAGTAACTACAAATAGTCACTTATAAGGTCTATTTTTTAAAAGTTCCCTGATATTATGTGAATGAGGACTTTTATTGTAGGATAACTTTTCCAATGACAGCATCTTCTATCTCAAGATGATATGCAAAGATAATTAATATTCCACTGAAATTTTTTGTGATTCTTTTTCCATAGAATAGAGTTATGGCTGAAAATGTAACTACATTCTCCGGACCCCCTTGCACCTAGCTGGGACAAAGTGGCTAATTATATCCAGAATGGAGGGGGAAGGGCTTTGTGTCCTTCTGGGCTGAGACTGATGAGCAGGTTGCCTTATCCATCCTCTCTTCCTTTCTGCAAGGCACCTGCAGGTGAGCACAGTCCAGAAATGGAATCCTAGGTCCCCACAGCGCATGTGTGAATCACAGCATGGAGAGTCACCTCCAACTGGCCAGGCGCACCTGCATCAGACTGTCATATGAGGGAAAATCAATCTCCACTGGGTCTCTGAGGATTCAAGGTTCATTTGTACAGCAGCCCAAATCACCCTTATTAGCCAATGTATCTGGAAAACGGGTTTTGGGGTGCAAAATGGGCTCTACCAGTAAAGACAAAACACATACAGTTTGGGTAAAATTGTTTCATAAAACTTGAAAGTGGAAAGAAAAGCATTTTTATTCACTTAACTAAAAATTAAACATTTTAAGACTATATTAAAGTCAATACCAATCATACTGATAAAAACTGAGGTCCAGTGATATTAACTGTGAAGAGCCTCTCTTAGACACTTACCCCTTCTCAAGATACAATTCCATTAAGTGGCAGGAAGCATAGGGAGGAAGGATTCCGTTGTAAACATCCAGCGCCATCTGTAGGCCACTCACAGTAGTGTCGTGCTACAGAGATTTGAAATAAATAATTTTTTATTTTTGTCTCCAGTTGAGATTCATGTTCAGTACGTATGCGCCCAGCGCCTGTAAGTGCCGCCAGGGCTTGTGATTCGGTTACATCTGTCATGCTCCCAATGACTCGAGTAGACAAGAGAAAAATGACTCCAGTTGGCCATCCGCTGTGTGTCGAACAGTGACATTCACACACATACCACTATTTCCCTTTAAAAGATGAAGAAATGGACCCAGGTAGATCAAGTAACTTGGTCAATGTCACGTAACTGAAAGACGGAAGAAAGGGAATTTGGGTCAAGTCCTTTGATTCTGTCCCGTTCCTTTTCCCAATAGAACATAGCTCTGCTTTAGCTTGTTTCATTGACTTTCATTAAGTTTTAAAATATTTTGGAACATTAATGCTGGATTACATTTTTTCTATAGATTAGAACAATCTGTGATTTTAAAGTTAGGGAAGAATATATGAGATTTTAAGTGTTTAGAGAGGATAAAAGGTAAGGAAGTAAGCTTGTAGTGTAAAAATAATTTAAATGTTTATCCCAGAGTGGCTGGAAAGCAGAGGGTACTATAGTTTTCAGTCCCAGTTTTGCCACTGATTAACTACATGACTTTTGAAAGCCTTCAACTTTCATATGTACAAAATGGGTATAACATTTCATTGCTTAAATTTTGTGGCAGTGTACACATAGTCAAAAGAGGTTAGAACAGATTTACTAGAAAAAGAAATGGAGTCACATGAGTTAGAACTGGAAACCAGATCAGAGACTAGAAAAACCGGCAGAACTGACTGATCTCAGGCTCACCTCTTTCCAGGAAGCCTTATACTTTGTTCCCTGCAGAGCATGTTCTCTAGTTTATATCACTTAGAACCCCTAATGATAAACGTCCCTGTCTTTAATCACTTCTCCTATCTTTACTGCAGAAAGGAAAGCATGGCTCTCTCCAGACAAAGCCCATCGGAGAGGCCCCTTGCCATGGAGAAGTGGGTGGGAGGCTGAGGCGCCTGCTGCTCCCTGCCCCCTGCTCATCCCCACTCCATGGATGGCCGCTTCCGTGCGTGGCAGACACGTCTGGAGCCTTCTCCCAGTCAGCGTCCCCAGGGTGGCCTTCTCCTGGATCCCTCTCTCTTTCTGCACTCAAGCATAACTCTACCTTCAATGTGCTGTTTGTCCTTTTCTCTCTTCTATCCCCTCCACCATCTGGAGATTTCTGCTGTGATTTCCAGCCCATTTGTCTAATCTGTACATCCTCCCAGCCCACGACATCCTCTGTTAATAGCTTCACCCTCCTTCCAGCCATCAAGGCTTAAAACACCGCCCTCATCTGTGGCTTGACCTTACGCATCACCCCCTCCACTCACGTGCCGATCCATCCCCAGGTCCTCTCAGCTTTTCCTCTCCTGCTGCCCTGGCTGTCATCTAAGCAGAAGTGATGGTCCCCCCTCTGAGGCACCAAACGTTTGCTTGCATGGCATTGCTATACTGCTTTGTCAGGTACTTATGTGTTTACTTGTCTTCTTGTCAGGATTAGTTTGTAAGTTCCTCAAGGGCCAGAATTATGTACTTAATTTTAAAATTAAAATTTTAAGCTTAAAAAATAAAATGAAATTTTAAAAAAAGCCAACCATGTACACACAAGCACATATCCAGGAGCTCTGACAGGTCAGTATTTAACAGCTTTGAACAGGTCTCTGCCGCCCAGTGGGCAATAAGGAAACGGTGGCGAGGACAATGAGCCCTGCTTAGAGAGGCCACACGCTTGAACCCAGATGTTGAAAGAAGACAGAAATCCTTACTGCAGAATACATGATCAGTCTGCGGCGGCTCGCGGGCTGTGCTGCGCTCCTCATGTGATTCAGGACCTCACCGACCAGGACACCTTGAAGAAGACAAACCAGCAATGGAGTTGAACCGAACATGGGTATGTATTTTTGTTCATAAGCCTGAGTCTCATGATTCTCAACATTTGAAAAGAGGGAAAGAAAAAATTTGGGTTGAGCATCTGCTCTGTGCTAGTAGCATAATTTATGTACGTTATTTAATGGAATCCTACTTGTACTCCCTGCTCATAGGAGAGGGAGCTGAGTCCCGTGACACGGCTCCCAGAGCTGGGGAAGGAGAGCTGCGCCGGTACCGGAGGACTCCACTGTCCAGGCTCTGTTAAAGCCTGCACCAGGGGGCTGAGGAGCCGTCAAGGGCTGCAGATGGCTTTCCCACCCCGCTGTCAGCCAGTGCTCTTCTCAGGAATAGGCCTGAAGTGACAGCATGACATGTGCTTCTCTGCCTTCGCCCATCCTGCTTCTGTTCTCTGGCACCTGGCCCCGTGGGAGGCCGTGAGGACAGCAGCTCTCGGCATGCCTGTGCCGTTTCCTGTGGGCTGTTTATCCAGGTCCCCAGGCCCACACTGGTAGCATCCTGAGCCTTCACCTGAGGGCTCCAGCTGTCCTTGGTGGAGGAGAGCTGCTGCCCATCACACCCACTGCCCCAGTGGGTGGGGAGCATGAAAGGCAGACGCATGCCTCAGAGCCTCCATCCTGTGGTGGACGCTGAAGGCTCAGGGGTGCTGTTTTGAGGACATTACCTCATGAATGTCCACACCAACACCTGAAGATTCCTTGTGTCTGTTTGGTGGTCTCTCTACTACACATGTACTCTCCTGGCTGAATGATGACCAGATTTTTTTTTTAATTAGCAAGGCATTCATATTAACAGAGTGACAATAATTCCAGTCTTGGTGGTCCGCTCAGCAAAAACACACTGAGCAGCTCTGATGGGCCAGATACTATGCTAGGTCAATCAGACATAGCTCCTGCCCTCAAAAAGCTCATAAAATAGCAAGAAGAGACCTTATTCTTCTTTTCCCTAGGCACCGTAAAGGGTTAATTATGGAGTGGGTGGTCTGATTTCCTGTAGATGGTGGGACATCCTTGACTAGGAATAGAAGAAGTGAGATGCTGCATTTCCAGCAGGTCCACCTGTCTCTGCTTCCAAGAAGGCTGCCTCCTGGGGGTCCTTCAGGGACTTCAGAATGATCTTCAGGCCACGCTGGTCCTGAACTCTGTGGCCAAGTTTCCAGAGGCCATGACAGCTATCTTCAGTCAGCAGCTGGTCCTCACCAACAGGAGCCTTGGCGGCAGCCCTGAAAGGCCAACAGTGCAATATGGTGTCAGCTCTTGGTTCTGGGGTGAGGGTACACCCTGCCCCAGAAGAGACTAGGTTACCACGACCATCCCCAGGCTCTGTACTAGTAACTGTGTTTTATAGGAAGGAAAACTGAGGCTTAAAGAAGTTCAGTGACTTTTCCAAGATCACACGACTCGAGAGCAGAAGGCCGAGCTTCTCCGGACCCAGCGTGTCCTGCCTGGCAGCCCTCCGCCCTGGGTGGTGGGGCCTTGCTGTGGCCAGGCTGCCGTCCAAGTCCCCTGGTGCACCACTCATTGAATCTGCATGAACTTGACAAAATGCTATTGGTTGTACATAATCTTCCCTTATTTTTGGGCTACAGCAAGGGCTGCAAATCTCTTTCTGTAAAAGGCTAGGTAGTGAATATTGGAAGCTTTGCGGTGCATGTGACCTCTGTGATTGTGCACTCGGGTGGAAGCACAAAGGCAGCCATAAAACTACCTGAGGGAATGAGTGTGGCTGAGTTTCAGTAGCATTTTATTTACAGAATATGGACAGAAGGTTGGTTTTAGCTTATAGGCTATAGTTTGCCATCTCTGGTGTACAGCAAGAAGAGGTTTCCATTAACATAGTTATGACCAGCCATTTATCAGCTTTAAAAATTTTCTTGGTGTGTGTGTGTGTGTGTGTAAGTGTGCCTGTGTGTGCATGTGTGTGTAGCACAGGAGATTACTGCTGGTGACACCTCTGAAACTGATGGAGCAAAAGTTTTGACAAAGGTCAGAAGATGCCTGATATTCCTATGTGACTATGTCACCCAGAAAATACAGGACAGGTTTTCTTTGTATGACTGTGTTCAACCAGTTCATAATTCAACAAACATGTGGCTGACAAATCTCTTGTCCAGCCAAATCTGAACAATTGGCTTGTGTTTTGGCAGGAATCAGGAAATGACTTCTCGGCTTATAAATAGCCCTGGACTCCACCAGAACATGGGACAGGTGAGTTCTCATGAGCCTTCTGGGCCCAAGACCAAAGGAGCCCGTCAGGGAAGGACTCCTACAGGCAGAACCATGAGATGGGGAAACAGGCCAAGCAAGGAGAACCGACCTCCCCAAAATGCTACCTCTTGTAGCCAAAGGAGAACAGAGGTGGGAGGACAGGCAGCCTGATAGGGAAACCCATCTTTCCTTCATGTGTGGGCCTGATATCTATTACTAGAATATTGTCAATTACTGCCTAGCTATCCCTGCACTTTCCTTTACATCTCTTGCATCTAGACAGGTGCTTCTGAAAGGTTAATGAACATGTGAACACCTAGGGATTTCATCGTAATACAGATTCTAATTAAGCTGGTCAGGAGTGGGGCCTGTGACTCTGCACTTGTAGCCAGAGGCTTGGTGATCTTATGGTATCTGGCCATGGACAGCGTTTTGAGTAAAAGGAGCTGAATTCTGAAGTCCATCATGACTAGGGAAATAAACGGGGGGAAATAAAACAGCAGTCCTGTTCCTACCATCTGATGTGGCTTGGGATTGAGTCCTGCTGCTGGCACCCGTTGGTGCAGGGGGGAGACCTGGTGCTTGTATAGCTGGTGGGGCCCTACGTCCACCCTTTGAGTCCTTTATTGTTTAGGACATAATATTAAGCTGATTCCTGGGCTCTGTTCCTACACACAGCCCTCAGTGAGCATCCTTCCAGTCTGGCCCAACCCCCAGGATGCTTTTCCTCTAGGTGTCTCCTGGAGTTCTGCTGAACTTGTCCTCACCTCACGGTGAACAGGGTCTGGCAGTGGTTGGAGTCCCGAGAGGTTGTACCATTTGCCTCAAACTGTCTAGAGTATATGACTCAGAACATGTCCTGTGGCTTAGAATTCCTTCACTGCCAGGCCACCCTGACATATGGACCTCCTTTCGCTCTCCATGCTTAGTTTTGGCTCTCCATTACTGACACCGGACCCCACACTCCTCTGGGGCCTTGGCCTGCCTGCCCAGCTGCCACCAGTGGCCCCCCAGCTGCCTGGTCCTGGCTCCTTCCCTTCACCCGCCGGTCCTAGTATCATGGGCTCCACCGCCTTTTCTGGGTCTGCCTTCATCACGGCAGTATGTCCTGAGCTTCAAAGGACCAAATCTAGCTGAGAAGGGGCATCACTGAGAAATAAAACACCTCTCAGCACCAATGGAAGACTTAAGCTGTGCCATAAATGTAGGAACTGCACCAGGCATTACTCTGCAAAATAAAACCACAGAGCATGTTTCATTAGCTTTAACAGCGCTGCCAGCAAGGGTTTGAGGAAAACACACCACTGTTGTTATACCTCCCACTTGAAAAATTCATCCTATAGGCCATCAGAACAATTGATACACAATTGTTAGATGCAAAATTGTTGAGTCTTTGAAAAATTCATCCTATAGGCCATCAGAACAATTGATACACAATTGTTAGATGCAAAATTGTTGAGTCTTTGATCTGAAAGGATGAAAAACATTATTTAGCTTAAGCCCAAAACTTTTGTTATCCAGATGAGAAAACTAAAGCCCAGAGGGTAAACTAAAGGTACTAGAAATGATTATAATGACACATAATGTTTATTGACAATGTATTATCAGGTACTATTTGTCCTAAGCCTCTTGAATATATACATTCATTTGAATCCTCACTGCCTGTAACATGGTGTCATCATTACCCTATTTTGCAGAATGGAAACTGGTAGAGAAGTGATTAAGTGACAATTTCAAGGTCACAAATCCAATACATTCCTCTCATTAGTTTGTATACTTACCCCCTTGCAGTCTAGATTTCTCTTTCTGCTTGTGAATCCCATACAGGGACAGGAGGGACAGTTCTGATAATTCTCTCAACTTAGCCATGGTGTCCCCTGTGACCCAGGAGGGTAAAGTGAAATTGTGAACACCCTGTCACAAAGAAAAAGGAAAAAAGCATGCATTTTTATTTCTGACTATCCTCCTTGTTTCTTAATCTCCTTTTCCCACGGGAACTACTAGGTCCAACCTTTCTTGTACTGCCATTTATTCTAGGAAAACATTACTTTGTTATAAGTAGTAGTGGAATTTTCAGAAGGAAAATTCACCAAAATGAATCCTCCCTTTTCTACAAGTCCATAGCTTTCAGCTTCACTGTGGGTCAAAGGAATGATTCCTGTTTTGTGAGTAAGGGTGCGGTAGGGCGAGAACGTGCCTCATCCCTTTCTGAAAGGTTTAGGAACCTCTCTCTTCTGTGCGGAAGGTCAGGAACCCATCTGACGGGGTGGGATGCTGTTTCCTCGAGAGCCGCGTTAGGGGCCTGAGAGGGAGGCGGGGCAGGGCCTGGGACAGCACCGTCATAAGTCGTCCTGCCTATGGGGAAAATGCCCAGATACAAACAGTCTAGTAAGAATGGGGGGACCCCATCTGAAGGCTAAGATTCCATTTTAAAAACCAGGGAGTTAGGAGGTAATATTTCAAACATACTTTATGGTAATTAGCCAACAACTGACTTTATTTTAAGGCAGGGCAAGCAGTTCTAAACACCATGTTTCCACTGCTTGAGGGGAACTATTGTCTTGGAGAAGAACAGTATCAAGAAATTCCTTGTGTTAAGCTCACCTTACAGACTATGTGGAGGGCTGACGGAGCAGGCGACACAATGTCCCTCCCTGCAGAGGCCCGGAGGCCACACGGCGAGCCTACGCACCCTTGGCTCTTGGCCTCATTCTTGGAATCTTTAAAAACCATGAATCCTAAGCCTTTAACCTTCTCTGAGGTTGCCCACCCACCCCTCTCCTTTGAGTATGGACTTTGCCTTAAATAAAGACTTCTTGTTGCTCAGATTATTGAATTTTGTCTCTGCATTCTTCCAAGCCTCTTGGGAAGTTAATACAAGACCCTCTTTCCCCACGTTAAGTGTCTTTGTTACTTTGCTATTTCATTCAATTTTCTAGACTCAAGCACAAGTCTTCACTCTCTCTGTCCTACTTCAGACAAGTCGGGAGGGGCTGCTGAGGTCTCTGCTTTGGGCCTGCACATTCCCACTGCCTGATTCTATATGATCATGCTCCTTAGCAGCCTGCCTGACAATCTCCTTTCTTTGCCTTTGGGAAGTTCTCAGAATATAATCTCCCTCCATCCAGGGCTCTGCAGTTCCCCCAAATCCTGGGGTGGTGGGGGTTCAGTTCCCATGCTGTGCATATTCATGTGGACACTGGACACCAGGTGACCCTGGCTTCAGGATTTGGCAGGCATCCGCCCCATGCTGAGCAGGAGTTCAGGGAGCTTCCCTTCCCCCCCTCTGCTTTTCCTTGTTCTCTGCTGCCTGCACAGCTGCTGCTATTCACTTCTTTTCTTGCTTTAATGAATTCCTTCCTTACCTATACTTGTCTGACCTGTTTGGGAATTCTTTTGTGATCAGAGTCAAGAATCCTTCCCCATCTGAGTTGAGGTTTTATCTAATGTGCAGGGAGATACCTCCCCAGATGCAGCTGCCCAGCAACAAGAGGACAGCTAGAAAAGGTCATGTATAACTGGAGCCTTCAACACTACACTCCCACTCCTATCAGCTTCCAGTTCCCTGTATTTTGGAGGAGTCACAGTCTCAAGGCATGTCTTCCAATGCCTTGCCACTTTGCTTAATCACTCGGAAATGCTGGGCTTCTGACACGCACAGTGGATACTTGGTGAACGCCTGTTAAATGGATTAATAAGCTGTACAGCGGGACAAGCACAGACCGTGGGCCAATATTTATTATCTGCTATGAAATGTTGATTAAGATTCCCCAGTTTCAAAGGCAGGACTGAGAGAGAGAGTTCTTTAGAGAGGAAAGCAAAGTGAGGGGGTCTGCAGAGGCAATAAGTGAGATAGAGAGATGCAGAGAAGTGGCCCCAATATGGAATAGCTCAGATCTAACTGGTATGGAAGACAGCAAAAAATCAAGACTTGAACCAAAATATGGGCTCTTGTCTCCACTGACGTATCTTTTATAAGGCTAACAATCTTCCTTAAAACAGATGCTGATGATAAGCTAAAAATACTGGGAAAGTAGCATGGGCTTGGGTCAAGGCACTCTACCATGAAGAGGGATAAACTGTGTCATTTGTTATAGAGAGGGAACTCTGAGGGTAACTGTTACACCCCAGACACTCACAATGACCTCAAAATCAGGAGTGAGTATAAATATGTGGGTGGTCAGAACTCTGCCCCAGGATTCAGTCAACTGGTTGGAAAAACAGGATTGCAGAGTACTCCTTCTGGCCAGCAGGTCGAGCATGGTGAGTGGAAAACACCATGTAGTCTTGAAATTTATTTATCTAGCTGCAAAGATTATTGCATGTGCATTGCACAGCAAGGAAGAGACTCTTTCCCAATTAACCAACTTCAATGACATGGCTTAAAGTTGGCTTGCCTATTTCTATATCCAGAAATCAGGTAATTTTTTTCTCTTTCTGTATAATAACATTGCTTTTCACATTAAAATCCATGACAGGAGCCCAACATTTCTGAGTAACTGAAAAATAGGTTAAGAGGCATGGGCCAGAAGAAAAAAATTTTGCTCGCAATTTTCTAAAGGGTGAAAAACAAATAATGGAGAAAAGTCAGAATTTTTACATTGATATAAAGAAGTCTTGAATTATGTTTCAATGTCAAAAGTATAATACATCTGCAAAAAACTGAAAATGTATCCATCAGCTTCAAAGTAGGCATAAATCATAAAATCAGATTGCAAGTTAATCTTTGATTTTTTTCCCTTTTACCTCACAAAATAAAGGGTCGTAGACTCTACTCCAAATTCCAAAAAGGTCCTGGCTATGGTATCCGGAAAGTTTTGGCAAGGTTTCTATAAAATCCTGAAACACACACAAAGGAAAAAAAAATTTCTCCACCAGGGTTTCTCAACATCAGCATTAGTGATATTTTGGACTGGATATTCTTTGTTGGGGGGGATGACCTGCATGTTATGGGGTGTTTGGCAGCATCCCTGGCCTCAACCAACTAGATGCCAGCATCGTCCCTAATCCCTCAGTTGTGACAACACACAGTGTCTCCAGACATCTCCAAATGTTCCCTGGTGGGGCAAATTTGCCCCCACTGAGAACAGCAGTTCTTCACGTAAAAGTGCATCAGTAATATCTGCTATGATAATTCCAGCCCAATGATTTCTACAGATACCACAGGATCACTGTTAATTGTCATATTAAGAATATGGGATGGCTTACTGCCACCTGAAATCAGAGTAAGTGCTGCCTCAAAGGCATTTTGGAAGTAGGTGAAGTGTAACTCACATGCACATGGGTGGTCAAGGTAAGGGGTAAGGCTGGTCTGAGGCCAAAGTTACTTTGAAGATCAATGCAAAACATCTAAGTAAAATATTAGCAAATAATTCAATATCATTAAAAGAAAGGAGCTTGATTCTAGACATGTAAAGACTGGTTCAATAGTAAGCAAATTTGTGAATATAATCAATTAATCTCATAATATAATTTAGAATATAATCAATTTTATAATTAGTGAATATAATAAATCAAAAGTTACTTATATATTAAAAATGGTGAGAAAAACTTTCAAAAAATTAAACACCAGCATTTATAAAAATACTCAAGAAAACAGGACAGATCGCTTGTTCGTTAACTTGATAAAAATGTATTTGGTTCCATGCTTAGTAGGGAAACACTTCCAAAATCCAGAGTAAACAAGATGCCTACTACCAATACTATGATGTAATACGGTACTGTAAATACTAGCCAATGTAAAAAGGCAAAAGAAATTCCAGGTGTAAATACTGGAAAAGTAGAGTAAACCACAATTATTTGTAGATATCATAAACCCAGAATAAACTTAACAAAAAATGTAAAGATCTATATGAAGAAAACCTTGAAAAAATCTTGAAGAGAAGAACAAATAGGAAAATGAACCACATTTTTAGAAAAACAGACTCAGCACCTGAAGCTGCAGGTCCTCCCAGAGTAATTCATAAATGTTATATGATCAATAAGAACACGAAAAAGTTTTAAAAAATATTCCTGGAATTAGGTAAGTTGATGCTAAAGTACACAAAGAAAATAAAAACATAGCCATGAAAACTCAGAACAAGTGGAGAATCAGCTTATATTAAGTCTTAATAATTAACAACAGTGTGGTTTTGGCTAATGAAGTGAAAGAATAATTGAATAAAATAAAAATTACAGAAATACACCCCATACATATGGGAATTTTAATATACAATAGCTCAAGTTAGTGGAAAAAGATGAACTATTCAATTAATAGTGGTGAGGCAATCAGGCAATCTTCTGGGAAAAACTTAGGCAGGATATACACCTCATACCTCACACCAGTAAGAACTGGAAATGGATCCGATGTGTAAATGCAGAAATGAAGATACAGTAGAATTAGCAGAAAGCACTGTAGACTTCCTTTATAACCCAGGAGTTGAGAGGGGCTTCCTATATATGACGACAAGTGCGTAAACCACATATGGATCTATCCGCATGCTTACAACTACCGGGAAAATACTGTGGACAAAGTCAATAGGCAAACAATAAAAGCAATGCTTTTCATGTCCCAGAAAATATGTTAAAATGTATAGAGAAATCTCCTAAAAATTATAGGAAAAGGAAACTAGTAATTCCAAAGAAAAACAATCAAGAGATACAAATAGAAGAGGAAATATCAATGGTATTTACCTGAATAAAAATACCCAAAGCTCACTCATGAAAGTACTACAGCATAGTGCTCTCCAACAGTGGTGACACTGGGCTTCCTTGTCTCCTGATTGTACAGGGGACACTTCTAGGGACACCACCTTTCCCTCACAGGCTGACACATGCCCTGTGTAGGTGAGGCTGTCTACATGCTGTCGGGAAAGCTGTGGAAAGCAGTCCCTCTTGTGTGTTGCTGACAGGAACAAGAGTCGCCATGAGCTCCTTGGAAGCAAATTTGATAATGTTTCAAATTGCCCCAGAATTTCTACTTCTGGGATATTATTCTATAGATATTATCATGAAATTATTATATTAAAAAATTCATTCTGACTGTAAAAGATTGCAAATGACTCACATTTCCATCAATAGAGACAGGTTACATGAATTATGGTATATCCATAAATTCATATACACAGCTGTACAAATAAGAATGAGGAAGCTCTTATGTACAGATATTTTTAAAATACTCTGTTATATGAAAAAAAACTAAGGCATCCAATCCTGTCAGTAACAGATCACTTTTGTGTAAAAAAAGCAGAACCCACCAGAATACATTCATATTTATTTGCTTGTGCATAAGGAACTGCTCAGCTATGCAGGAAACACTGCCAGTGGCCACTGAGAGGCACTCCACTGTATTCCCTTTCATATTTTTCCAATTTTGAATGGTGTGAACCTATTATAGATCCAAAATATTATTTTTAAAAGTACAAAGCATTAACCTACCTTTGGTATAGTCTTGAAAAGGGATACTCCACAAAGTGAAAACAAAACAAAAGACTGTCCTTTGTCTATGACAACCGTAGCCCCAGCCCCCCAGCCTCAGTGATGCAGGTCATTTTAAAATCACATTTATCCGAGGAGAACCAAGATGGTGGTGTGAGTAGAGCAGCAGAAATCTCCTCTCAAAACCATATATATTTTTGAAACTACAACAAATACAACTAATCCTAAAAGAGAGACCAGAAGACACAGGACAACAGCCAGACTACATCCACACCTGTGAGAACCCAGTGCCATGCAAAGGGGGTAAGATACAAGCTGCGGCCAGGCGGGACCCGAGTGTCCCTCACCCCAGCTCCCGGTGGGAGGAGAGGAGTCAGAGTGGGGAGGGAGAGGGAGCCCAGGACTTCTAAACACCAAGCCCCAGCCATCCTCACTGGAGCGCAGACACACTGTGTGTCCATGGGGTGCTGGAAACTAGGGAAACAGAACCGTAAGACCTGTGAGCGGGGCGGGTCCCTGCAGCCAGCTTACCTGGGATAAAGAAAAGTGAGTGATTTTTGAAAATCTTAAAGGAACAGGGACCCCACAGCTGGATGGAAGCATCCAGGGACACTTAGCCTAGCAGCTGGGATCCCGGGGAACTCTGGGTGTCCAAACCCCCACAGCATACCTCAGAGGTCCCTCACCATGATAAACAGCCTCCCAGCTGTTCCCCCTCTGACGCGGCTCCACCATATTGGAGAAGCAGCCTGAGGCAGGTCACGCCCACAGCAACTGCTAAATAAACTCCATAGCAGCCGGGCAAGATCAGAAGCCCTGTCTGCACGCAGCTGCCCAGCACAAGCCGCTAGAGGCCACTGTTCTCCCAGGAAAGGAAGGCCATAAATTGGCAAGAAGGGACTTTCTCTTACCCAACACATGTGCCAGCTCCCCACAAATATATCTATCGCTGTGAAAAGACAGAAGAAATTGATACAGACCAAGATCACAGAGGCAAACCCTGAGAAGGAGATAGACCTAACCAGTCTTCCTGAAAAAGAATTAAAAATAAAGCTCATAACCATGCTGATGGAGTTGCAGAGAAATATGCAAGAGCTAAGGAATGATGTCCAGAAGGACATTACAGAAATGAAACAGTCTATGGAAGGATTTATAAACAGAATGGATAAGGAGCAAGAGGCCACTGATGGAATAGAAACCAGAGAACAGGAACGCATAGAAGCTGATGCAGAGAGAGATAAAAGGATCTCCAGGAATGAAACAATATTAAGAGAACTGTGTGACCAATCCAAAAGGAACAATATCCACATTATAGGGGTACCAGAGGAAGAAAAGAGAGAAAAAGGGATAGAAAGTGTATTTGAAGAAATAATTGCTGAAAACTTCCCCAAACTGGGGGAGGAAATAATCGATCAGACCATGGAATTGTACAGAACTCCCAACAGAAAGGACCCAAGGAGGACAACACCAAGACACATAATAATTAAAATGGCAAAGATCAAGGACAAGGACAGAGTTTTAAAGGCAGCTAGAGAGAGGAAAAAGGTCACCTACAAAGGAAAACCCATCAGGCTATCATCAGACTTTTCAACAGAAACCTTACAGGCCAGAAGAGAATGGCATGATATATTTAATGCAAGAAACAGAAGGACCTTGAACCAAGAATACTGTATCCAGCATGACTATCATTTAAATATGAAGGAGGATTAAACAATTAACAGAGAAGCAAAAGTTGAGGGAATTTGCCTCCCACAAACCACCTCTACAGGGTATTTTAGAGGGACTGCTCTAGATGGGAGCACTCCTAAGACTAAATAGATGTCACTAGAAAAAATAAAATCACAGCAAAGAAAGCAGAACAATCAAATACTAACTAAAGGCAAATAATAAAATCAACTATTCACAAAAGCAGACAACGGAAACACAAAAGAACACAAAATAAAACAACCAACATACAAAGAATGGAGGAGGAGGAATAAGAAGGGAGAGAAATAATGAATCAACAGACAGTGTTTAAAATAGCTCAATAAGCGAGTTAAGTTAGACAGTAAGATACTAAAGAAGCTAACCTTGAAACTTTGGTAACCACGAATCTAAAGCCTGCAATGGCAATAAGTACATATCTTTCAATAATCACCCTAAATGTAAATGGACTGAATGCACCAATCAAAAGACACAGAATAATAGAATGGATAAAAAAGCAAGGCTCATCTCTATGCTACTTAAAAGAGACTCACCTTAAACCCAAAGACTATAGGAACAAAGAAAGACTGAAGGAACAAAACAGCAGCAGAATCACAGAACCTAAGAATGGACTAACAGTTATCAAAGGGAAAGGGACTAGGGAGAAAGGGAGGGAAGGGAGGGATAAGGGTGGGGAAAAAGAAAGGGGGTACTAGGATTATCATGTATAATGTGGGGGTTCACGGGGAGGGCTGTACAACACAGAGAAGACAAGTAGTGATTCTACAGCATCTTACTATGTTGATGGACAGTGACTGTAATGGGGTGTGGGGGGGATTTGGTGAAGGGGGGACCATAGTAAACATAATATTCTTCATGTAATTGTAGATTAATGACAACAAAATTAATAATAATAATAATAATAATAATAATAAAAATAAAATCACATTTATCCTGTTCCAGCCACGCACTTGCACCTGGTTCTTCTCAGGGACATAGGTGTAGGATCTGAAAGGGGCTGACTTCTTCCCTGGCTTGTGGCCCCAGCCAGGTCAGGGGCCAGGCAGTGAGCGCTCTGACCCATGTGGGGACTGCCTCTCGCACATTCTTCCCACAGTTTTAAGAAGCCAGAGCTTCATCCTGTCTTGGCTTCACACTCATACACTTAAATGACACTTTTTTTTAACCTTATAAGGATGCAGCCTCTTCTGGAATTCCTTTGATTTCAAAGTCTCTTTCTCAAGTTCTTGAAAACGAGGGCAGTTCCTGAAAGGCAGGTATAGCAACTGAGGACAAAAGAAAAATCATAAATCCTTTATGAGTCAGAAGAACATCATGAAAAAAGCTGCAGCCATATTTTCAGTTTCACTTGGTGCAAAGCAACCTGAGTAAAGGATTCAAATGTGTTTGGGGCAGAGTGGAAATTCTAAAATGAGGAAAACTTGCTTCACGGTCTACATGTCTTAAACATAGGAATATGTACCCAGAACTGAAAAGCTTTTTTTCCCTTTCATGAACTTGCCTTAATAGGACTGGACTGTTGGTAAATATTTACACTTTCTGGCTTTCCGTATGAATTGGCGATCAATTATCTTGCTCCCTCCCAAACCTCTCTCATTTCTAGCCCTAGATACACACACACACACACACAAGTATAGAGAAATGAATTAGTGGTTCCAGAAGGAATCTTAAGAAATCAACTAACCATTTGCTAACTTAGGTTCTTACAAATTTGCAGACTGTTAAAATAAGGGCATATACTAAATATACAGAAACATATACTTAAAAACCTATTATAAGGACAAAGTGGTCTTTCTGAAAGAGTTCAAATTCAACAGTCTCTTTCCTTTTAACTTATAAACTAGAGGTTGGTGACCCTCGATTTCAGTCTGTGGCCCTCACATCCCATCTCCGCTGGTCCTGCATTTCCAGCCCTGGGTGGGTGTCGCTGCTGTGATGTTTCTTTCCTCGCAGTTAGATGTAGTACACAACTAAACTCAACCTCTTCGTTTTTAAAGATGGCTTCTTTGTAATTCTCTACTTTTGCCAATGGCAAAATTTATCATCGTACTTCATATACTAGTCACCATTTGCTTGTCTACTTTCAAAATAGATCTAAAACAGACTTCTTTTCTGTACCCACACTGTCCCCGCCCAGGGCGAGTCACCATACTCTCTCTTTGGTCAGCCAGTGTCCACTCTGTCCACCCTTACAATTCATAATCTGCCTAGCAGCTACACTGAGCCTTTATATTTCATTTTTGTAAATACTAATCTTTTTAAAATACCAATCAGATCGTACCATTCTGTGGTTTTTATAACCTTCTTTGGTTTTCTGTCTCGTCTGGAATAAAGTACAAACTCAGGCCCTAGAGACCATTCTGCCCTGCTTTCCTGCCCCTGTCCCGCACCCATATTCTCCTCCAGTGGCACGGCAGGCCCACCACTGCCCACTCACCGCCCACCCCATTTGGGCACACAGGCCTGGTATCTGTGGACTGTCCCCGTCTGAGATGCTCCCCCAACTGACTCCCAGCCCAGGTCTTCCAGCCATCCTCCCTGGTCACTCTCATGTTGCTCTGTTTTCCTGCCTCCAGAGAACTCATCACCATTTGAAGTTGTATTCATTTACTTCTTTATATTCTATACTCCATAAAACATAAACTCAAGGATGGCCAGGATTTTGTCTGTCCCATTCACTACTGTGTTGTCAATGCCTACAGGGCCTGAAATACTAGTAGCTACTCAGAAAACTCAAAAAAATAAATAGATTGCTTCCTGCCTGTCATTACTGATTCTCTGTCACCTTGTCTTACCCTGCTCCCTAGAAATGAATTAGTGGTTCCAGAAGGAATTTTAAGAAATCAACTAACTATTTGCTAACTTAGGTTCTTACAAATTTGCAGACTGTTAAAATAAGGACATATACTAAATATACAGAAACATATACTTAAAAACCTATTATAAGGACAAAGTGGTCTTTCTGAAAGAGTTCAAATTCAACAGTCTCTTTCCTTTTAACTTATAAACTAGAGGTTGGTGACCCCAGATTTCAGTCTGTGGCCCTCACATCCCATCTCCGCTGGTCCAGCATTTCCAGCCCTGGGTGGGTGTCGCTGCTGTGATGTTTCTTTCCTCTCAGTTAAATGTAGTACACAACTAAACTCAACCTCTTCATTTTTAAAGATGGCTTCTTTGTAATTCTCTACTTTTGCCAATGGCAAAATTTATCATCGTACTTCATATACTAGTCACCATTTGCTTGTCTACTTTCAAAATAGATCTAAAACAGACTTCTTTTCTGTACCGACACTGTCCCTGCACAGGGCGAGCCACCATACTCTCTCTTTGGTCAGCCAGTGTCCACTCTGTCCACCTTTACAATTCATAATCTGCCTAGCAGCTACACTGAGCCTTTATATTTCATTTTTGTAAATACTAATCTTTTTAAAATACCAATCAGATCGCACCATTCTGTGGTTTTTATAACCTTCTTTGGTTTTCTGTCTCTTCTGGAATAAAGTACAAACTCAGGCCCTAGAGACCATTCTGCCCTGCTTTCCTGCCCCTGTCCCGCACCCATATTCTCCTCCAGTGGCACGGCAGGCCCACCACTGCCCACTCACTGCCCACCCCATTTGGGCACACAGGCCTGGTATCTGTGGACTGTCCCCATCTGAGATGCTCCCCCAACTGACTCCCAGCCCAGGTCTTCCAGCCATCCTCCCTGGTCACTCTCATGTTGCTCTGTTTTCCTGCCTCCAGAGAACTCATCACCATTTGAAGTTGTATTCATTTACTTCTTTATATTCTATACTCCATAAAACATTAACTCAAGGATGGCCAGGATTTTGTCTGTCCCATTCACTACTGTGTTGTCAATGCCTACAGGGCCTGAAATACTAGCAGCTACTCAGAAAACTCAAAAAAATAAATAGATTGCTTCCTGCCTGTCATTACTGATTCTCTGTCACCTTGTCTTACCCTGCTCCCCTTCTTCTGACATCTTTACCACTGATTTCAGGCCTCCATTTCCTCACTCCTGAACAGCTTCAGCAATCATTCTCGGAAGCTTCTGACATCTTTTCTTCCAAGCTGGTCAGACCAGTGCCTCAAAGCTCCATCTTCCTGTGTGTGCAGTACTGGGGAACACACGCAGGCATCTTTTATGTCCTCTGCTTTACATCTAAATGTCCCTGCATGGGATTCCAATTTTTTCCATAGGAGAAATGACTTTGAGGGGAAAGGCACAGGACTGTTCATTTAAAGATCTAGTTTTTCATGAATTACTTAACCTTTCTAGACTTTCATTTTCTCACCTCACATATTGAAAGAGTCAGACTGATAATAAATAAAAGAATCACCTGAACATCTGTCCAGCATTTTGCAGTTTGCAGTCTTTTCCATTTCTTAACTTATTTGGTTCTCACAAATTCCTATGAAGAAGTTAGGTGGGTATTGTTTCCATTTTACAGGACGGGAAACCGAAGTGCAGGGAGGCAACTCAGTCAAGTATCTGAAGTGGTACTTGGCTCTAGACCCAGGTTTCTCATCTTTAAATCGGCCCTCCTTCTGCATCACATTGCGTTTCAGTCTCAAGAATTCCTTTTTGCTATCACATTTGGATTCTCTAACCTGTGCCGTGTAGTTATTCAGTCTTATTCTCATTCTTCCTAAATGTCAACTCTGGACACAGAAGGGCAAGCACCCTGTACATTTGCTCCTGGCCGTGGTCTGGGGCTACCTTCCCTTCCCTTCTGAGGGCTGCCTCGAGTTCTCATTCTCTACATGGAGACTTGAATGGCTGCCCTTGGTAGGTCCACAAAAGTCTCATTCACTGAGTTCCTCTAGCCTGAATGGCTTGTACTTGAAATCATCACCCACTGACTTGTACTGTGTTTTACACACTTCACACATGCAAATATCTTTTCATTAAATCGATTATAAACTAGAGAAGAAGTCTGGCCTCACATTTCCCTTATATTTCTCTACAGCAATTAGCAGAGCTCTGGGAATAATTTTGTATTGATCGAATTTGTTAGATTTCTTAGTTGATGTTAGGACTGTTTTCATGTCAGTGGGTAGGTGGCTGTAGGCTGTAGGCAGGTGATCCGCTGTGTCTCCCTCTCCTCCTTGTGTCTCCCTGACAACACCTGTATTCTCTTTGTGATGTAATTTAATTACTATCTTTCAGGATTAAGGGTTATATAGCTATCTTGGGTCTCCATTGGCTAAATCTGGTGCTGCTGTTCCAGACTATGTATAAAAAGCTGTGGTAAAAGTGATTCACTAATTTTTCTTGTTGAAAGAAAATATTCACGAACTCCTAAGAACACTGACAATTATAATACTTTACTCCTGGATTCTATGAAGGAAGAAACCATAAATAAATCATCCTGTCTTTGCAGGAAATACCAGAAAAATGTGTTGGAATAGATTAACTAGAGTGAGGTTGACAGGCTCAGACTGTTTCTACAAAGCATTCGGGAGGAATTCTTGTCACCAGCTGCAACAATTACATCAAACTTCTAGGAGTACTGGCAGGGCAAAGAGCTTCAGCACCTTGCCCAGCAGTCAGTGGTACCTTCTGAGCCCAGCAGTCACTCTCAGGCTCAGCCACAGAGAGATAAGGTGACCGTGATTACCATGTGGCTGCAGGGGAATTAGGAAGGATTGCAGAATTCTATGTCCCTATTTCCTTCATTTAGTCTTAAATCTCACACCTGGACATTAGATTTATTTATTGCTATTTTAAAAATAGCAATTCCTCTGCAAAAGTTAAAGAGTTCTTGGTCAGTCTCACCACATATAAACAAATTTGAGAGTTTCTCTCAGCCTCATTTAAGCAGCTTTGTTTATGGTGCCTGGTTGTGGATAAAGTGAAGGTTTCTGTGGCCAGGATTCTCACCTGGCCCTGGTTGGCTAGCTCACTACACATGTGTGGGCAATGCATCACTATTGACTCTGTATAAAGAGCCCTGACCAGTGCTCTGCATGATATGGCGGCACAGCTGCAAGGATGCAGGAGAGCAGAGCAGAGGCTGGAGTGGTGGCAGTGCTGAGGACAGAGACTGAGATGGCTGCACGAGGAGAGAGACTCAGAGGACAGCTGTGCAGGCAGAGGGGCCCAGAGGCAGAGACCCGCTTGCTGCATGCAGACTCACTCTGAGTGAACAGGATTTTAGTGATTCACCTGCCACCATGGAAATAAAGTTAGCTATAACCCTTTCACCTGAAGAACATTTTACTGTCATTTCTTTAACACTGAATTCGTAGTGAACTTGCCCAGGGCTGAAACCCATTGGCAAGGCACTAGTTCTCAGCCTTGACTGTCCATTGGAATCATCTTTTTGATGATTATTTTTTTTAATTACTTAAATTAAAATTCATTTAAAAATTTAGTTTGAATTAATTTGATTTTAATTAATGAAAAGTAATTAAAAATACTGATGACTGGGTCCCACCCTCTGAGATTCTGCTTACTTATGGAGAATGTTCTAGGCATCAGGATTTTAAAAATTCTCAGCTGATTCTAATATGCATCTAACTTTGAGAACCACTAGTTAAGAGGGAAGGAAATTACTCTGGAATGAGATGTGCCTAGTGCATCTGGTTCTAGCCGAGATGATTACCAGCTGTGTGGCTTAGAGCCCATTTTGTTTCTTTAACTTCTCTGATCACTCATTTCTGTGGAAATGCAAAGAGAACAATAATATTGTCCATTCAACGTTATTATGAAAAGTAAATCTGATGACACCTATGAAGTGCTGGGCACCAATCATGTACTCGAACCTTCCTTTTTTACCTACCTGGGAATGGAGACTTTCTTGGGGGGAGGGATATTTTGTAGATATTCTGGAGGGAGGAGAACCCTGTGTGGGACCAAAAGGCCAGGAACTGAAGGCAGAACACTGGAAGCCTTGTGTGTGTGTAAAGCTGAAAGAGTAGCAAAATGGGTGGTAAAGACCCAAGGAAGACCCCCATTCCTACTTTTCTTGCCTAGGGCTGCCTATGTCCTACATTGTCCTTTGCACTTTCATTTAGGAAGGAATCAAGACTGTACAGCCCAGGAGTGAAAAGACTCCCAGGTCTGCCAAGTGCCAAGCAGCCTGCCTTCGTCCTTCCAGACCCAATGCAATCGCCTCGTTTTCCCAGAATACTGACCTGATCTTCAGAAACAGGGACTGTGTGCACAGGGATGGGCTGCCAGGGCAGATTGGGATTCCAAACACTGATACCCTCAGGGGGAAATAGGGCTGCAAGGTTTGCCAGAGCACTCATCAAAGTGCGGTCAACATCTGTGCTCCGGATATAAACCTAGAGTAGGAAAATTAGTGAAACTGGGTGTGTTCCTGTGGAGTGAAGAGCATTTGAGAAAGGGCAGGACATGCACTCCAAAATATTACAGACATTGTGGTAGCATCATGATCATAGTATCAGTTGTGGGGGAGACATATTCTGAGCGAGCCATGCACACAGCAACCTGGTGTGCTAATAGTTGATTGAGAAAAGAGACCAACTAAGTGGTGGCTACTTGCCAAGCCAAAGTATGTACTGCAGGTGTCCATCAAAGTTATGACTATAACTTACATTCATAAATTTTTTCAAGAACAACATATCTGTATGAAGAGGAATACATTTGTAAATAAGAGCTCTGAGTTATTTGGGAAACAGATAAAGCACTTTAAAAAAAATGCAACACAATGTTAAATCCTTTCAAGGGACAAGGTCCCTACTCTTACCAACCCAACTTACCTGTTCATGTTTGTACGACTCATTCAAGAACTTCCCATATCTTCTCCTTAGATACTGTCCAAGTTCATAATGCTGCTCCATGCCCAGCTATGGGAACAAAGAAAAGCAAAAATTAGTGAAAGTAAGTCCTATGAATCTCCTCTATGAGGCTCATCTTTCCTCATTGAATGTGTAGCCTGAATAATAGCGTGTTTTAATAGTTCCACAATAACAACATCGTTTTAAATGAAAAAAAAAGTTGTAATCTTGAGTCATGAGTCCCTGAGAAAACTCCTTCACCTTCATTACTACTTACCCTAGAGCCTTGCATATAAACAGCTGTTGGTGGATGTGACTGAGTAAATGGCTCATCTCTGGTGTGGCAGAGCACGCAAAGGGCTGGTTGACCATGTGGGAGTTTTGTGGAAGAAATTCGACTATCTGATAAGAAGTTGGGTTTGGTGAATCTGAAGATCTATTTCAATCTCTGGGTGCAAGATTTATTACCTGCACAGTGTGCTTATACTTGGTTCATGAAAAACTACAGCCTGTCACCCAAAGTGCAGTCTGTGGATCTGCACCTAACACCACTTACTGACAATATGTTAGGAGTATGTTAAAAACTAAATTTTGACCCCACACCTGCCCTCCTGAACTGGAATCTTTGAGATGTAGCTCAGGAATCTGTTTTTAACAAGCTCACTAAAATTCTGATGGCCAATAATCATTGAGAAGCATTTCATTAGCTCAATGATCCTCAAACATTACTGTGCATTGGAAGCAAAATTATCTAGGGATACTAGTTGAAATGCAGATTCCTCAGCATTTTCCCAGAGATTCCTGCTCATTAGATCCTGTGGGTAGCCCTGGAATCTTCATTTTAACACATGCCCCAAGAGATTTAGATCCATGTATTAGAGCACCATGCTTTGAGAAACACCGCATTCGAGTCTGTCTAATCTGGAGCCTTGCCTGAGCGTCAGGAGTCAGAGGCTATGGTCACTCTGGCTTCTGCTTGGCCCTGCCCACTCACCTGCTTGTCACTCCAGGTTATAACAATCATCACCACATCCCAGGATGGGAAGGAGACAGGAAAAGAATAATGTGTGCTTTGAGGTTTGTGAGTTTCCTGAATGATATGATAGTTGAAGAAGGAGGTATTTGTGTCTCATTTGTTATTCTAGCTTACAGCTGACTTCAGAGAAATAGTCATCTTCTATGGAGCAGTGGTTTTCAAATGTGAGTCTGCACAGAATCACCTGGAAGACTCATTAGGACAAAGATTCTCAGGCTTTAACTCCAGAGTTTCTGGCTTATGGGTAGGGCCAGAGAATTCACGTTTCCGACACATCCCAGGTGCTGATGGGGTTGCTTGTCCAGGGGCCGCACTTTGAGAACCACTGATCTAGAGAGCCACTGCCTTGTGTAGATGGGAAATACCCAGCCAAGGGCGGCACTCTGGGCTCTAAAATCCTGCTACATCAAGAGTGGCCTCATCCCAGCAAGGTATCACCTAGAATTGTCAAAAATGCAGAGTCTCCAGCCCTACATCAGACCTGCTGAGGTCAAAACCACGTTTTCTTTTTTCCCAGCTTTATTGGAAAACAAAAATTTATATAATTGTCATACATCACTGTAAAAATTTAAGATGTATAGCATAATAGTTTGATTTACATACATTGTGAAATGATCGCCACAATAGGTTTAGTTAATACCCATCATCTCCTGTAGACACAATAAAAAGAAAAAGTAAAAGAGAAAGAATTTTTCCCTTGTGATCAGAACCCAGGCTTTGCTCTCTTTAACAACTTTATGCGTGCTCACTGAGGCATGAGCCGTCGTGCTCACATCACATCCCTAGTGTTCATTAATCTTGTAGCTGAAAGTTTGTGCCTTCCGATCGCCTTTCTCCTGATGCTCCCTTCCACATCTCTCACCACTGGGGACCACAAATCTGATCTTTTTCTATGAGTTTGTTTGTTTTAGATTCCTTATGTTAAGTAAAATCATACGGCATTTGTCTTTCTCTGACTTATTTCACTTAGCATATGCCCTCAAGAGCCATCCATGTTTTCGCAAATAACAGGATTTCTTTGTGTTCTTTTTTAATGGCTGTATATTTCATTACATATATATGCATTTTTTCATTTCATTATATATATATTTCATATATATAAATATATATACACACACACATATATCTCACAACTCCTTTATTATTTTATCTGTCAGTGGACACTTAGGTTGTTTACATGTCTTGGCTATTATAAGTAACACTGCAATGAACATGTGGGTGCAGGTATCCTTTTGAGCAAGTGTTTTTATTTCCTGTGAATATTAGAATTTGAAATTTCACAAGATCCCCAAATGACTCATTTATGCCTGAAAGCTTAAACACTAGGCAAATCTGATGGCTAGTCAAGAGACTCCCAGGAGAATCTAGATCCTACAGATTGGAAGAATTTTTTGGTTCTACTGGAAAAGTAGAGCAAGGGAACAGGAGTCTTTATGGAGCCATAGTAATAGCAGCCCTAAATTTTCCTAACCCTTTTCTCATTTAAGGAGCTAGAGGCTGGGTAGGCTTTGGTGGGAAGAGCTCTGAAGGGGAGCCAAAAGATGCTGACCTCCAATAGCCTGAGTGGCTGGGTTAAGATGGTAATTCTCAGCCTTGGCTGCACATTAGAGTTGAACGATCAACTGAGGGGCTTCTACAAACCCAATATCCAAGCCATACCCTAAACCAATTAAATAAGAACCTCTTAGACAGACATCAATGTTTCTTAAAGCTCTCCAAATAATTCCAATGTTTAGCCAAGATTAAGACCCATTAATTCTGGAGACATACAACTCTAACATTCTATGACATTTAAAAAATATCTTTAAACAGTGCTTTGGTTAGGACAGAAGCAATGCATGTGGCCTTGTGGCTCTAAACAGAGAAGCCATCTCTCTTAGAAGTGATGGGTAGGGGCGCTGGGGTGGAGGCCACACATCTTGCTCCCAAGCCCGCCTTCCCCTTCAGCACTCTGTAGGAAGTAGGGCTCCCTGGGCTCAACTGACCACTTATAAGAAAGGCTAAATCCCAATGTATCCTACTGAGAAGAAATCAAATTCAGTATCAGCTCTTCCAGGGGAATCATGTTTTCCCAGCCCTTCCCATGTTCTCTATTTCTCAGGTGGAGGCTGAGAAACTAGGGCAGGCCTGTCAGTATCTCGGCCGTCTTCAGCACCTTTAAGCTCACGTATTCTCCTGTCACCCACTCAAATCTCTTAAGCTTTAATAAAGCCAACAGGGTAAAAGAAATCAAAGTAGGCAGTTCTATACACTTTTCCTACAGTTACAAGTCAATAAGGGAGACTTGGTCATGATCTGAATTTACCAAAGTTAGCCATTAGTGCCTCTCCATCCACAGCTGAAGCACATTTTAGGCTTTTAGATCCCAGATAATTGTGCAAAATACTTTCCTAGATCTGAGAAATTAGCTACATGGTTTCAGTATGTTACAAACCCAAGCAGGACTTAGTTTCCCTTGAGACTCTTGGCAAGCTTTAGCTGGGAGACCTACCAACCTGTGTGAGCTGGCCAAATCCTTGGGGCCACGAGGACTCCTTAATGGGGTCATTAGGAAAGGTCTCGATGGGACTTCGGTCTCCATGCCTAAACACCTGGAAATAGATTGAGGCAGTAATGTTACAAATCTTACTTCATCATAATAGATTCTGTTCTATTCATCATAATAGATTTTCTTCTAAACCACTGGTTCTCAACTGTGGCTGCTCATTGAATCAACTCAGGCATTAAAATAAGTTCTGAGGTCTGGATCCCAGACCTGTGATTTTGGTTTAACTAGTTTGGGGTGTGGCCAGGTCATCAGACTTCTAAAGACTTCCCAGGCAAGTCTCAGGTTAAGAAGCACTGTTCTAAGCTTACTGATGCTTTTCCCGTGTTTCAGGTAATGTAGTAACAAGATGAGCAGCCATTAGAAGGCAGACGGTTGGCACATGGACACTGGTTTGTACAACAGGGCAGGAAGGAACCCAAAGCTTAGCAAGATCACTTTATTACAGACAAACTCTACATTCCTTCCTTAATTACAGTTAAGTAATAAATGGTGTTAAAATTCTACATGTATGAAAAATTGTGGCCTTTAAGTGTTACATACAATTTGTGACCATCTTGAGCCAATGATTTACTTTAGGACATTAGGGATAAAGGACTTGGGGTGGAGGGAGATTAGAAAAGCTCATTCTTAACACTTAAAGAACATTCTGGATTTGTATGCATTTTTATGTGCTTTTTATGTCCAATTTTAATGTGCTTTCTGATTACAACACCAAACCAAACATAAAGCTATGTTGGAAGCAAAGATAAGGGAAGTAAAACACTCAAGAAATAAAAGCTACAGCGATGTAGCAAACATTTTTAATGCAGAGGGGGCTGCCTTACACCATGCATTAGCTGTGATTTCTTGCACTTGTCACATATGTGTGGATAAAGTGAAGGTTCCTGTGGCCAGGATTCTCACCTGGCCCTGGTTGGCTAACTCACTACACATGTGGGCAATGCATCATTATTGACTCTATATAGACAGCTCCACCCAGTGCTCTGGGTGACATGGTGGCATGGCTGCAAGGCTGCAGGAGAGCAGAACAGAGGCTGGAGAGGTGGCAGTGCTGAGGACAGAGCCAGAGGATGGCTGTGTGGGTGGAGAGGCCCAGAGGATGGCTGTGAGGGCAGAAAAGCCCAGAGCCCGACTTGCTGCATGCAGACTTGCTCTGAGTGAATGGGATTTCAGTGATGGAAATAAAGTTGGGTATAACCCTTTCACCCCAAGAACATTCTACTCTGATTTCTTTGGTCACACTGAATGCATAGTGAACTTGCCCAGGGCTGAAGCCCATTGGCAAGACAATGTTACCTGTGTCACGTGCTCCACTCAAACAGAGCCATGAGGCTGCCCTCTAAAATCCTGTAAAATGGTTCGGTAGACACAGAATGAGGACCAGTCTCAAATTTTAGTCATCTTTGAGATGAGGTTCCCTGAAAGTGAGGGATGCTCCCAAGACTTGGGGAGTATCTCTGATATCTGAAGAAAACTGATCTTTAGCCCCTAACCTGATGAGAAATTAAAATCTCAGTAGAACAGGCTAACAGCAAAACAGATGGACATGGTATAGTGGATCTTAGGAAATCATTTAGGTCAGGTAGGGAATTGTTGTCCTGCATGGTCCCCTTATGGCAGTAGGAAAGGCTGCATATTTTCTGAGGAGCACCTGCAGTCACTAGTCACTACAGGTGACTTGGCCATGATCGGAAATCAGTGAGGCTGATCGTTACTGCCTACATGTTTCTACAATCAAAACACATTCTAGACTTTTCAGATCCCAGGTGATTGTGCAAAATACTTTCCCAGATCTGAATAACTAAAGTTGTATGGTTTCAATAGATTATAAAATCTACTGTATAGTTTAGTTTCCAGGGTTTCTCGACCTCAGCTCTGTTAACATTTTGGGCTGGTTAAGTCCTTGTGGGAGGCTGTCTCAGGCACTGTGGGATATGTAGCGGCACCCCTGGCCTCTGTCCACTAGATGCCAGCAGCCTACCCAGTTGTGACGGCCGAAATCCCCGGACCTGCCAGTGCCCCCGTGGGCGACACCAGCCCAGCCAAGAGCCCCAAGTCAGCCAAAGAGGGGCCAGCAGGGAGACATTGACACCAGTTCCTGCCAGCCTGTGACCATGGCCCCTCGCTGTTTTCTGAATGATTGGCCCTGTACACAATTAAATCACCAGTGACTCCACACAGCAGTTACCGTTGTGATATTCACTTCACAGCAAAGAAGTGACCTGCCCAAGGGCACCTGTGTGTAAGCGGCAGGTCGTACACCCACACCTAGGCTGTGCAGCAATGCCAGCACCCCCTGTGTAAGAGGCTCACTACTCCTGTGCATAGGCACAGCCTTCAGGTCCCACAGTGATGCCCTGGGGCTCGGGCCTCTTCCTGTAAGATTAGGACCTCTGTGTTTGGTGGGCACAAGTGCCTCCATGCCCCCATTGCAGGAAGCATTCTTGAGCTTCCTGAGTTTTTCCAATTCAGCTGTGGCCTTTGGACTTGGCCTAAGTGCTCTTTTAGTCTGTGGCAGGCAGCCTTCGTCACTTCAGCTCTGCGGAAGTCACCTGCTCTGCTCAGCCCTGCAACCACACCATGACATCGTTCACAGCCTGAAGTGTGTGATGAGTACCGGTGGTCACTGCAATAGGAAGACGTCCAAGATAACAACTACCCCCTAGACTTGTGCAACTCCACAGCTTTGTACAGTCCTATCCCCTGCTGTCCCTCTGCTTCACACAACTCCCTGGTGGGGACAAGCTGGCACTGTTACCGCCTGAACAAATAAGGAGCCCTGGGCGCAAAGAGACTGAGTGAGCTGCGCCGACCTCCCAGGGGTCGCAACTGCTGGCCACATCATGCTCCCTCCCCCCTTCAGTCACACCTCACTGTTCTCAAAGGAGCCATGGCTTGGTACCCACACAGGTGGCCCTTCCCTGTCAAGTCTGCTAAGCAGATCTGGCACATCCTGCAGGATGCGGAATGCGGAGGCGCTGGTGAGACCCAGGAAGGCAGTTGGCTCAGTCCTTCTCTTTGCACAGCCAGAGAAACGTCCTGGAGAAACGTCCATCCAAAAAGGTTAGTGATTGCCTGGAACCCTCTAATGTCCTCATTCTATTACAACTTTGTGGGTTTTGTTTTCTGTTTTCAGAAAATTGTAAAGACATAATAAAAGTAGACATTTTTACAATGAGCTCCTATGAGCCCACCACTTGCTCCATCAATCATTGACTCGTGTGGCATTTGTAGCCTCATGACTCCAACAGTCGAACATTTCCTGCTGTTCCTGTGTAATTCAAAGCCTTGCCCCTCTAGATGTCCCACCTTAAACTCTTCTAAGCCTGCTCAGCCACAGGCCCCTGCTGTCCGACCCACACACTCGGTTCATTCGGTCTCGGGGCCAACGGCCTTCTGCCTGGAACATCCTGCCTCTGCCACTTCTCCAGGTGCGTACGCTCAACCACTGAATTCAGGTCCCTCCTGAGAAAGGCAGCCTCTGCAGAGAGGCCTCCCTTAACTCCCATTATGAGGAAACTCCTGCTCTCTCTCATTACACAGTTTTGCTTTTATGCCTGATATTTTCTTGTTTTTTGTATGTGTATTTAAGTATCTGACTTCCTCTCTTCCCATTAAACAACTTGGAATCAGACCCCTTGCTGTCACAGGCACAGCGCCTGCCCCAGGGCAGTGCCGGTGTGACATAGGCACGCATACAAAATGCCTGTTTTCATGAAGGAAAGAGCCCTGGGTGGGTCTGGCTCCATGAGGACACATGGCTTTCTTTTCAATCTTCTCATTCATAAGGCTTTTGATTTTCCTCCTTATGTATCACCACAGTATATTTTCTTCTGCTTTCTTCTGCTCCATTATTTGTGCCCTCTGACACCTCCCTTGTGCCTTTGCTTCTGAAACAATGAGTCACCCCAAGCTAGGCTAGTGCCTAACAAAGCATCATGCTGTCCTTTTAGGCATGGGGTTTGAGATGTATCATACACCTCTGGGGTGGCTCAGGAAACCCGGGAGAGACTGTGGCTCACAGCGCTAAGCCCCACTCCCTGTTTTATTGGGAGTCTTGCAAGCGACACTGTTGTTGCACAAACCCGGCCGTGAGTAAAAGTCTGTTCCAGTTTCTTCTTTTAGGAACTGAGAAATAAGGCTGTTAGTCAAGAGAATTAAAAAGGAAAAGAGTTCGGGCAGAAATGAATGAGTCAAGTGAAGGAACACCATGCAGGGGCAGAAGGGAAGGCAGCTGTGTGAGGAATCGGGGTGAGAGTATGTCCTCACTCCAGGAGGAAGGCAGGAGGGCCACTCCCCGGGGACATCCTCCCAGGGCCCAGGAAGAACACAGGGCCTGCGGGAGAGGAAAGGGAGAACCATGTGTTAGGCGGTGTGGAAGCTGAGCTCAGAGAAGCTCGAGCTTTGAGTCAGTTAGACCTGGGTTCAATTCCCTCCTTGTCGAGATCCAGCCAGTGACCCTGGGGAAATGATTTAAACTTCTGCATGCCTCGATTTCCCTCTGTGTAAAATGAAGAAATCATTATTTCCCATGCAGGAGAACCATGAGAATTAAATGTGGAATGTTTACAAAGCTGCCATCATAGGACTGAACACCCAGGCTGCACTCAGCCTATGTGATTTATGATTATTATTTTTGTTGTACTTGTTACATATTCAGGCCTTTAGCTTAGCCACCCTCTCTCCTCTTCCTGCTGGCAGGAGTTCACAGCAGCAGATAAGGCAGATGAGAACCTGTGGAGGAGAAGGGAAATGTAACCCTCTCCTTCAAGAAGTATTTCTATTAATTTCTAATCATGTGTCCCCCATTTTTATTTTCTTGACTGAGAGGAAGAACTACTTACTCCTTTGGATTTAGGACACTTTGAAAGTTTGAAGTGCCTATAGTGACAACCTGGCTGGCTGAAATGTCTTGAATCAAATATAATTTATCTGATCAGTTCACCACCCTGAAAATTTGCAAATTGCACTGGCATAAAACCAGGGAGAAACTTGTGTAAAGAAACTTAACAGACCTCCTGCCTGGCCCAGCACCCAGGGCACAGTGCTGCCCAGCAAATGTCCCTGCAGATCCTGAAGGTC